ACCGTCTTCCAGGTAGTCACGGAAAAAGTTTCCGTCATAACTGTACGTCAGACGATACTTTTTCACCCATTCGTAAGTATCGTCTCTTCCTTGAGTGGACACTATTGTCACTTTAACGAAACGCCCAAAATTCACCTGAAACCAACTGTTGTCTCGTAAATTACCAGCTGCCCAAGCCCCATAGTGTCCAGCTTTAAGCCTGAAATTAAGTCTTCCATTGCCCGGCATATATAAAGTTGTACCCGGAGCTACATAGCTTGAAGCAGTTATTGAGGAGTCCGGAATGGCATAATTTTCCAGACCTAATCCTTTCTGGCAAGCAGGGGGTTGTGGGGTGGGAAAGCCTGAAGGAGAAATAGTGATTTTTATTTGTAGTTTGTTTTATTTTAGAAGTGATTTATGTAGTATATCCTTTATACAAACTGCTGACTATCTATTGCCAACTTACTGCACAATTGTTATGGTGGAATGATTCTTCCTTCGACTGCTTGAATGGTTCACGTGCGGTATAACTCTTTATGTATATGACGTGAAATGTCAAAGCTTTTCCTAATTTTGGTGAACGTGAGCCCCGACGACGATTTTTTTGCATTTTCTTTTGGAAATGATCACTGGCGTTACATATTAAATTTGGGCGGTTTTTTTAGAACAATTGGCGACTGAAGAGATCTAGATAATAAGGAAATTCAAATGTTAAATATATGACTTTCTATGTGACATATATGTCATATATGTCTATATGCCTCGGTCTTAGCGTCGCCGCGGTCATTATTTTAGCTCCCTAGTATCCGGAAAGATATTTTGATTATGTCATACATGCATTTATTTGTACGTATTCTTACCTGAACGACATCCATACAACTCCATTCTTAGTGACATCCACCCATAATACGATACCGGTTGAACTCGGATGTAGCGGGCATAGATTGGTGGATCCAGTGTGTTAATATGAAGGCTGTCTCGGTCACTGTTACCTTGAAAGACCTAAAGTGATAACAACAGACACGTGTACGTAATGGCAAGTATCAACAAAGCGTTTAGCAAAAGCGGACGAGCACGATCAGCGACCGATTTCAAGGAGATCGACATGGACAATGCGATATTGAGAGTGTATATCTAATAATTATCAGATATAACAACGTTTGTGGAGATAACCTCATTGCAAGGCGCTGGAGTTTGAATCGAGCGATCCGGGTTCGTGCCCTGAACGGGGGTAATTGGATTGTGTTCTTAGACAATATCTCTCTTCACCGAGGTGTATGAATGGGTACCGGTAAATTTAATGCTGGGGTGGTGGAGTGCGATAACCCTTCGAAGGACTGGCATCTCATCCACTAGGGGAGAAAAAATACTCCTAGTCGTTAGTCGGGATAAACTCCGGCCTTTATGCACAACTTCGCCCAGCGTAGACTTTGTTTTTCTATAGTTACATGGAAGTTCAATCTCCAGAGGATAACACGAAAACAAACAAACAAACAAAACATTGAATTACTGTATGACTTTAGCTAAATGTTTTGGTTTCAACTTACCTTTTCAGAGCCATATTGACCGTTCGTGTAAAACTCAAAATAACCGCCATCATAGCTATAAGACACCTTGTATTCAGTCACCCACTGATACAGTTCTTCTCGGCCCTGAGTTCCGATCTTGGTCACCTTTGTGATGTCACCAAGATCCACCTGAATCCACTGTCCTTGTTCCAGGTACAAAGTTGACCATGCGCCTGTTTTGCCGTTCCCTGCCCGGTGATTTAGCCTAGCATTGGTAGCTCCATGAGCTACATTATACTGCAAATGTATACAATGCGTCGATTCATAAATTTATTATTTGATTGCCCGGGTTCCCTTATTTAGGGAATTGAGCTACCTTGTGCCAAGCTTTTTACTTTCAAGAGCACCAGGGGAATGTACCTCTAAGCATTTCTAACCCTGTTTTTCTTTCTTAAGTCTTAAAGTGTAAACTGTCGATTCTTCTTTCATCTCTCCTGTCCAATATTTAGACACAACTAGCTGGAGGTTAACTTGAAACCTCAAAATGCCAGACTTCAAGACTACGACACGTGATCAGAAACTACTGACACTATTACCGGAGAAGAATCACAATCGCGCCAAATTTGGGTACGATAAAAATAACTAACGGTGTCGAGAGCTAACCCGCCTGATGTATCGTCAAAGAGTATACAAGTATAAATATGTACTGCATCTACCTCGTAGTTAGCTTTGATGGCAGAGTCGGGGNTGCGTAGATACGTACTCCGTAGACTGTTTTTGTAACTGTAGTGTAAGATTAATTGTAATTGCTGTAATTGTTCAAGCAAAGAAAAAACATTAACTTACCGCTTGGTAGTAAAAGTTGAAGCAGCAAAATAATGTGTAGCTTAATGTCCATCATGGCACTGAGAGCTTGAGAAGACTAACGCGTTTCACGATTGTGACGTTTTCTCAGTTAAAGAAATCGACACCTAATGGTAATTTCATTATGTCAAAAGATTTCATTGGTGCCTTCAAAATACATTTCTAAACCTCTTAACAACAAACCGAGTTGTTAAGGAAGTTTGAAGTAGAATGAACAAGACTTTAGCCATAGATATAACTTGCAATTGTTAAATTCAAAACTAAAGGCGAAATAAATGCCTTATATTTTCTGGCCATGTTTTTGTTAATATACTCCAGTGTTCATGGAGGTACCCCTGGTGCAAGTCAACCACTGAGCACTACTAACCAAATAAAACAAAATGCGACAGCAACTTTCCAATGAATCAACGTGTGAACTGATAATAGCTGCAGTCACATCAAAGCATTAACTCTGGTTATTAGTCTTTAGTTTAATGGCGTCAGGCCTAACTGTAGCCAGAG